GCATGCGTGCACTGCGCGCGTGCACGAGGACGCCACCGGCCCCGTTCCAACCGAACCGGTTGGAACGGGGCGAGAAACCCACCCCTGGTCCAGTTAATGGACATTCTTTAACAAAACATATTTTTATAGTTAGGAAAGTTATCAAGACAATTGTAACCAAGTAAAGTAATCAAAAAAAGTAATCATGCACGTTGAGTCACTGGTGAAATTCACTGTTTTACTACCAGTTCTGTGGGCGTGGCTTGTGGGGGATGTGGCAGGGGAAGGATACTGCAAAATCTCCATTCCCTCCCCACTCTGACGCCAGCCAGAGGTGGTATTTACCGGTTCTCCGAACTACTCAAAATTTCTGCTACTGGTTCTCCAGAACCTGCTGAATTTCATCCTTCAGTTGAGGTCTAGATCAGGTAGAATTGTGACATCAGTGACTGAATAAGAAAAGTTTCAGAGATATAATGTAATTATATATTAAATTAAGTATAACATTATATAATTTATTATAATTTTAGATAACTGACTTGAATGCTGCCTAAGTCAGCTAAACATGAGCTGCCTAGCGATTTGGTAGACAGACATGTTATTTCTTACAGTCTACTATCATATGAAACAAAATTTTTGGTTTCTTTTGCAGATCTTGGAATTACCACAACAAAGAAGTAAGTAGCTGGTTAATTCAAAGTCCCTGATAGTTGTTTTATTTCCCTTCTGTACTTTCTAGCATAATACTGTAGTCGGTATTTTTATATAGTTCCTATATAGCCTTTTGATGGTGGCGCTGGTGATTAATCGTTATTATACATTTAAAATTGCAAAAGGTAAAATGATTTTGCAAAACAGTTAATTATTATTTTTTTGCAATCCAAAATATCAGATTTTACAACATAATGTAATACCGCCACAATTTCTTCACTTTCCTAAAAACTAGTGTAAATTACAGATATACTCAACTTACGACCACAATCTAAATCTTAGGGGAGACCTTCAGTGGAATGCAGGAGAGAAGAGGTTAACAGGAGGAGCCAACTGGCAACCAAAAGTAGCACCTGCAACATGGTCATCTGGAGTTCCTCCAAGTGGCTCCTTGGTACGTGGAGATAACTGCATATTTCATAGATGTACAAAATTCCATGTGAACATGACGTTGACTTCTGCAAAAGGGCGTGGCACAAACAGTCTCTTTTATAATCAGGAGAGGATCTTAATCAGCATCAGCTAAGCGCAATCATCTCCTGTCATTACACAGTTGTTCTTGCCGCCGAGTAGCCCTTTGACGGCGTGCATCCCGAAACAACTCACAAGTGTTTTCCTGAACACTACCTCTGATCCAAGGCTCCACTGCCACCTGATGGCTCCCCAGTCTCTCCT